ATCAGCAGGAGAGGACTCTTTAAAGTAGAGACACTACATACTGATATACACCTGAACATCAGCAGGAGAGGACTCTTTAAAGTAGAGACACTACATACTGATATACACCTGAACATCAGCAGGAGAGGACTCTTTAAAGTAGAGACAGTAGAGACTGTATGTTTAAAGCTGGAGCAGCTCTCACCTTCCCGTCGATAGTGAAGTGTTTCCAGGCCCGAGCCTCCTGAGTGCTGATGTTCTGATAGAGAACAAAGGACCCGTTGCTCCACTTGTAGAGACCGGATCCGGGCCGGGAGTCCCTGCAGGACGAGGACACATGTCTTATACATTTAGAGGAGGATTTTACTCACAATGTTCTGATAACTCTTTGTCGTTTATTTGTATTTCCAGGAAGTCTTTCTCACATTTATTAATATTTTCCAGGACATGTTTCTCATTTCACTCTGTTGGAGAATGATATTGATATGTTTGGATAATTATCTGTTCTTTATTTATATTTTCCCTGGACTGTTTACTCATACCTCTTTAGTATTACATGTCTTCATTGCATTGGTTTACTTAAATGATTGTCTTTTATTGTCGGCAACAGAATGGTTAAGATGTTTTATCACGCTTTTATTGAAAGTGTGCTCTCCTTCTGCACCATTATATGCTGGTTCGGCAGCGCCACTGAGGCACGGAAAAAGTCAGTCAGGAGGGCCGTAACATTGTCCAGTAAATTGTCAGGAATCTCATTTTCTAGTCTAGAATAATACAAGGATAGAGCTTTAAAAATGGCACAGAATACTGTGAGTGACCTGAGGCGCCCTCTTGCCTCAGTGACGTAGGTTTTATCTTTTTCAATGTCTTTGTGATGTGCTGCAACCCATTTTCCCCTCTGGGACAAATAAACAAATAGGATTTTATGTAATTCTTTTTATATTCATTCATTTTTTTCATTATAATTTCCTGAAATTCACAGATATATATTTGTATATTTAGTTATATTTTTTCTGAATATCTTTCTGACATTTATTTACATTTTCTAGGAGACGTTTCTTATAGTTTGAAAATGTTCTTCGGGACATTTTCAAATTCTTTTTTTATTAATTAATTAATTATATTTTCCTAAAATTATCAAATATAATTTGATAATTCTTTGTTGTGTATTTATATTATTCCTGGACTTGTTACTGCCATTTTACCCATATCTCTTTATTATTATTTGTAAATGTATTAATTGTATTGTTTCTTTAGGATATTTCTTCTGACATTTGACTAATGCTTTCGGAGAAATGTCCCTTATATATTTTTGGGAGATTTATTTCTACATTTATTACGTTTTTCAAGATTTTTTTGAGATTTTCTTTTTTGTTAAACGAAGCATTTGTTGAGTTAATTAAGGCCCTGCAACTGATTCACCAGCTCTTATTTAATGTAGTTATTTGAATCACAGAGGACACGTTGGTCCTGAGGACCTTTAGCTGGTCAGAAACCAGAATCCTAACGTTAGTCCCAGTTTGAGTTCAGTTAGATCACCTGTTGGCTGCAGCCAGGAAGAGGCCTTCAGACGGGATGGAGAACACCTCCACGTCGAACGTCTCTGAGCTGGTGTAAAGGTCCTGGTGGTCCTCTACGTAGTCCAGGCGCTCCCGATCTGCAGAGAGGAGACACGTGGAGGTAAAGGTGGGGTTCAGTATTTAAAATTATATAAAAAATGGGGTGGGATTAAATAAATGTTTAATCCCAATCAGGCAAAGTCTTCTGTGCCTTTAATGTAATGTCAGTCCCCCCTAGAAGTGAATCATTTTGGGGGGAAATCTTTGTACATTCATTCATTTTATTGATTTTTTTCCCTGAAATGTTACGGATATTTGTTGATAATATCCTCGTTTATATATTATATATTTTTTTCTCACATTATTCTGGACTTTTTGTTGAATTGCAATCACATTTGACTGGTATTCTTCATTAAAGCCTCACGGTGCAGCGGCGTCCTCCAGCAGACACTTCCGCTGATACGGTTTTTAAGCTATTAACTTCATCATTTCTTCTGTGCCTTTAATATAATTTGATTTCCTCCCTATAGGCGATTCATTTTAGGGAGAAATATTTGTACATTTATTCATTTAATTTTTATATTTTTCTGAAATGCAACAAATATATTTTTTATAATTCCGATAATTAATTTATTTCCTTCTGGAATTTTTTTCTGAAATGATTCCGGAAGTATTATCCCATTTTACTATCATCAGAAAAAAGACTCTGTGACCCCGGGGTTATGTACCTGCGCTTGATTCAGGATAGTATGATTGGAAAGGAGGACCTCTACCTCTTTAAAATCTTGATACTAGCGGGCCATCACACGGAGCTGGTTACTATGGAAAGATACTGTCTAAGGACTAAAGCAGAGATCTTTGAACAACGCTGGGAGAAAAAGGAAAAAGAAAGACTGTAAACATGGAGTAGTGTGTTCCCCTGTTTTGTGTTTTCTTTTTTTTCTACATACGTAGTTGTGTGTGTTATATATTTGTCGAATGGAAATTAAAGAATTAAAAAATAAAAAGTCTCACGGTGCAGCAGCGTCCTCCAGCTTCCTCCGTCACAGATGAAGAGGCCTCGGCTCTGGGCGTTGAACCACAGCTGACCCAGTTCTGGTTCTGAACACAGAGGACGGGTTCCCAAAGTCACGCGGGCCTCCGCCTCTGAAACACAACAAGAGACAATCATTAGCATCCAAAGATAATCAATAAACAGTTAATGGTAAAACATCACAGCCTGGGACTTGTTCATTAATCTGACTGCGTTATCAGAATCAGGTTTATTGGGGCAGTCGGGGCTCATTCCCCTTAAGTTGATTTATTTATACCATATATACTATTTTGTATGTTCTTTCCCACTATGACTATGCATGTCGTTAAGTTTGGTGTTCCTGTCATGCTGTGTTTTTTCTTTATTATTTCTTGTTGGCTGTTCTGTTTGTCTTCTCTGTTGGAAAAGAGAAGCGTGATTTCCACCCAAAGAAGTCTGAACTATTAGAATGGGAGGGATGGTCACTGCTAGGGAAGAATTCTCTAACCTTTTGCCCTTTGACGTTTATTGACTTTAACATGGAAGTCAATGGGAGATGCCTTCAAATCCTCTTTTAACTAGACCTTACGCCAAATGCTTCTCCTTCCACATACTTTCAGCTACAGACTTCATTCCAACTTTAAAATGATCACAAGAAAATGTCACGGATATCTGTTACGGTTCTTCAACAAACCGTTCATGTGTAAGAGCTTTAACTCTCATTCAGATCAATGGAAAGGTTCCCCTCTGACTGATTACTGCACATCACCATGGAAACCTTTGATCTCTGGACTCACGGGCAGTTGTTTTGATCAGACCTCGTTAGCTCAAACACAAACACCTGTGTGATGATGTCATAACTCCAACTGACGAGCTCAGAACGAAACCATCACACTGTGTCCCGGGACACATCTTCTAATCAGAGCAGACACGCCCACAGACACACTGGTACACACACACACACACACACACACACACACACACACACACACACACACACACACACACACACACTGAACATCTCTACCACACACACACACACACACACACACACACACACACACACACACAGGCCTTTGCCCACCTAACCATTGTTTTTATGGGTGAACCTCCCATTGATTGATGTCAGACATCTCATTTCGTTTTTCTACACCTCACACTCTCCAAAACCAAACACCCCTTCAAAAGAAAAGCCCTATAGATGTAACTACTTGAACTCATACTACTACGTACATCTGATATTTAACTCCTTCAGCCTACTTTCAGCTGCACAAACTATTCAACTATTAACTTATTCAGCTATTTCAGGACAATGAGGCTATACATGTTGTTGTTTATACCTTTTTTAAACATTTTCTTTTCAATATTAAGCTTCTTCACTATGTTTCCTCCTCTTCCAGTTTAACATTTCACTTTCAAGT